CGACCTCTAAGTGTTTGTGAAATCTCCTACCACAAAATGTACTCAGCCAATGACAGGTGAGGACGCCATTTTTATTCTTCTCCTGCCATCCATGGCCAACCCGGTCCCACACTTCATCCACGTCTTTGGTGACCTCTAACCTCCTTATGAACGGTTTCTTCCATGAAGATCAGCCATAGAGTATATCTGAGGTGTATATAGCTGATGAAGTCACGACGCACGTGACGCAACGCGTCGGTTTGTCATTTCCTGGTGACGCATGTCTGGACGCCGCGGCCATATTGGATTCCCCTAAGTGCATGCAGATTTACCCATAGGCTGTGGTAAAAACGCTTACTGATGGAGAGGACCATTTGAATAAGAGAGGAGGAGGAATAAGGAGTCTGCCAGAGGAGATACACCATTGAGGTGGTAACTGCTTTGGGGCCCTGTGTGGGTCAAGGAGGGGAGATGAGCAGGCATTGCTGCCATTTGGAGGAGAGTATTTACACCTAGAAGTGGAGATCACGTGTGTTTTCTAAAAGCACAGTCACATGCATGGACATTTTTTCTGTTTCACTTATGATGTATATGTCATGTGTATGAATTAGGCACCATTTCATGTGGTTAATTAATTTGTTTCACTTATTTATTCACACTCCGTTATGAATTTTGATATATGCACATTATAATAGGTTCTTAAAGTGTGTGCTATATTATTATAGTTTAATTATATTTGGTTGCACTATTTTTTTCTCCCACCAGAAGGAGACATTAACATTTATTACATAGAGTTGTTACACAGGATTATTAGAATTATATTTACATTAATTCATTTTTATCTTTTTTGAATGCACTTTATTGTATTTATGTGATATAAGCGCTTCACTATTTTTTCTTTTTGTTTGCACTTATTGGTATTAGTCAAGTGATAGCAGCTGTATTATAATAATTATTCCATTGAGCGCAGGAGGATTCCTTATAATTTATATCAGGGAGTGCTTCTTCCCCACATGAGAGCTGGGATGTCCAGCAACATTCATCTAGAAGGCATTTCCCACACTCAAGGCACTAATACACCTCCAGGGTTACGTGGGACCCCAGGAAGACAGGACTTCAGTGAGGAACATTTCCCGCACTCAAGGCAGATGTGATTGAAATCAGGATGTAAGTCACTAGGGAAAAGGCTCGATTTAAATAACTTTTAAAGAGCAACCATCATCTCTGTCCCGCAGCGGCTCCTCCTCCGACACGCGTGTTGACTCACCGACAGTCCCATTCACTTTAACAGGACGGCGGGTGATGTGGCAGTGACACAACAAGGTGAGGGACATGGCAGCAGCAGGGGAGTGGACGCAGAGCAGGCTGTTAGCAGGAGGACGTCATGGCTGGACAGGCTGGTGGCAGAGCAGGCTGGTAGCAGGAGGACGTCACAGCTGGACAGGTTAGTGGCAGAGCAGGCTGGTAGCAGGAGGATGTCATGGCTGGACAGGCTGGTGGCAGAGCAGGCTGGTAGCAGGAGGATATCACAGCTTGACAGGTTGGTGGCAGAGCAGGCTGGTAGCAGGAGGACGTCATGACTGGACAGGCTAGTAGTAGAGCAGGGTGGTAGCAGGCAGACGTCATGGCTGGACAGGCTGGTGGCAGAGCAGGCTGGTAGCAGGAGGACATCACAGCAGGACAGACTGGTGGCAAGAGGATGTCACGGCTGGACAGGCTGGTGGCAGAGAAGGCTGGTAGCAGGAGGACGTCATGATTGGACAGGCTGGTGGCAGAGCAGGCTGTTAGCAGGTGGACATCACGGCTGGACAGGCTGGTGGCAGAGCAGGCTGGTAGCTGGTAGCAGGTGGACATCACGGCTAGACAGGCTGGTGCTAGAGCAGGCTGGCAGCAGGCAGACGTCATAACTGGACAGGCTGGTAGCAGAGCAGGCTGGTAGCAGGAGGACATCACAGCTGGACAGGCTGGTGGCAGAGCAGGCTGGTAGCAGGAGGACGTCACGGCTGGACAGGCTGATGGCAGAGCAGGCTGGTAGCAGGAGGACGTCACGGCTGGACAGGCTGGTGGCAGAGCAGGCTGGTAGCAGGAGGACATCACGGCTGGACAGGCTGGTGGCAGAGTAGGCTGGTAGCAGGTGGACATCATGGCTGGACAGGCTGGTGGTAGAGCAGGTTGGTAGTAGGAGGCCGTCACGGCTGGACAGGCTGGTGGCAGAGTAGGCTGGTAGCAGGAGGACGTCATGGCTGGACAGGGAACTGTGGATCAGACAGCACAAGCTAATAGTGTTGCTGGATTTAGTGTCATTGGCACCAACATTATCAGTGGGCAGTCCCGGGTGCACGAACGATAATGCACACGACTATGCACAGCAGAACAGACCCTCACACATCTACGCTGCTGTGTAGGTCCAGAGGCTTCAGCTGCACTAAGGCAAGTATCTTCCCGACAATGGCCCTCCAGGTGTTGAGGAACTGCAAGTCCCATGAGGCCTTGCAAGACTCTGACAGCCACAGGCAAGACTCCCAGAGGCATTATGGGACATGTAGTACTTCAACAGCTGGAGGGCCATAGTTTAGAGACCCCTGGTCTACAGCAAGGAATGTCATGTATAGGCCTACGGCAAGGAGTAGCACTTAAGATAGTGGAGGGTTCTGCCTCAGCAGGAGGGACAGTGATCTAGCAGGGATGGAGCTGGGGTAGGGACTTGTCCTCCATAGTTTGGAGACCTCTGGTCTACAGCAAGGAATGTCATGTGGAGGCCTATGGCAAGGAGCAGCACATAAGATGGTGGAGGGTTCTGCCTCAGCAGGAGAGACAGTGATCTAGCAGGGATGAAGCGGGGGTAGGGACTTGTCCTCCATAGTTTGGAGACCCCTGGTCTACAGCAAGGAATTTCATGTGGAGGCCTACGGCAAGGAGCGGCACTTAAGATGGTGGAGGGTTCTGCCTCAGCAGGAGGGACAGTGATCTAGCAGGAATGGAGCTGGGGTAGGGACTTGTGCTCCATAGTTTGGAGACCCCTAGTCTACAGCAAGGAATGTCATGTGGAGTCCTACGGCAAAGAGCAGCAATTAAGATGGTGGAGGGTTCTGCCTCAGCAGGAGGGACAGTGATCTAGCAGGGATGGAGCTGGGGTAGGGACTTGTGCTCCATAGTTTGGAGACCCCTAGTCTACAGCAAGGAATGTCATGTGGAGGTCTATGGCAAAGAGCAGCAATTAAGATGGTGGAGGGTTCTGCCTCAGCAGGAGGGACAGTGATCTAGCAGGGATGGAGCTGGGGTAGGGACTTGTGCTCCATAGTTTGGAGACCCCTGGTCATTCAGCTCCTCTGGGGAGGAATAAAGCCCTTCAAGCTATGTTCAGAGAGATCACAAGCTGCTTAGCAGGTTTCATTTTAATTTTTCCTGTTTGCCCTTCCCCCCACACGTAGAACCCGCTACAGACCATAGATCTGCAAAGCAACGGGATAAAGGAATATTCCTGATGGCCCTCCAGGTGTTGAGGAACTGAGAGTCCCATGAGGCCTTGCAGGACTCTGACAGCCACAGGCAAGACTCCCAGAGGCAGAGGCATTATGGGACTTCAACAACTGGAGAGCCATAGTTTGGAGACCCCTGGTCTACAGCAAGGAATATCATGTGGAGGCCTACGGCAAGGAGCGGCAGTTAAGATGGTGAAGGGTTCTGTCTCAGCAGGAGGGACAGTATCTGGCAGAGATGGAGCTGGGGTAGGGACTTGTGCTCCATAGTTTAGAAACCCCTGGTCTACAGCAAGGAATGTCATGTGGAGGCCTACGGCAAGGAGGGCCACATAAGATGGTGGAGGGTTCTGCCTCAGCAGGAGGGACAGTGATCTAGCAGGGATGGAGCGGGGGTAGGGACTTGGGCTCCATAGTTTGGAGACCCCTGGTCATTCGGCTCCTCAGGGGAGGAATAAAGCCCTTCAGGCTATGTTCAGAGAGATCACAAGCTGCTTACAAGGTTTCACTTTCATTTTTCCTGCTTGCCCTTCCTCCTCACACGTAGAACCCGCTACAGACCATAGATCTGCAAAGCAACGGGCTAAACGAATATTCCTGAATGATGTTTTATCTCACGGTTCCCATGTGTGAGTGCATCCATGCAGTGCATGTTATCTCAGCTGCCAGAGCTTGGATTCATCAAATTGTTCACCAAAAAGGTCGATATTGCAGGATATCGACCTCATGCTACGTAAAAAAGCTCCATTTCATGCTGAATAAACTCATTAATGTATCCTAAATAGAAAAAAAAAAACAAAACTATCTTTACATAGATTTTTACTCCAAAAGCATTTTATTCAAATCAAATACATTTGATATAAATAAAAAAGCAAAAAAATCAGATTTAAATTTAAATAAAAACAAAATCCAATCTAAATTAAAAAAAAAAAAACAATTTAACTTTCAAAAAAATCCCAATTTAAATTTGAAAAAATCCAATTTAAATTAAAAAAAAAATCCAATTTAAATAAAAAAAATCTTTTTTTATTTAAAAAAAAAATAAAATATATATATTTTTTTTTTATCCACACCTCGAGGGTTGTGTGGGACCCCCTGATGTACTGGAAGACAGAACTTCAATGAGGAACATTTCCCTCACTCAGGACAGGCAATTGGCTTCTCCCTTGTGTGAGATCTCTGATGCCTGGAAAGATTGGACTTCTGTGAAAAACATTTCCCGCACTCAGGACAGGAATACGGCTTCTCCTTCATGTGAGATCGCTGATGGCTGTAAAGATGGGACTTCATCGAAAAACATTTCCCACACTCAGGACAGGAATATGGCTTTTCCCCCGTGTGCAGTCTCTGATGTTGGGAAATATAGGACTTATCTGAAAAAACATTTCCCGCACTCAGGACAGGAATACGGCTTTTCCCCCGTGTGGGACCTCTGATGTCTGACAAGATCTGATTTTTGTACAAAACATTTCCCGCACTCAGGACAGGAATACGGCTTTTCCCCCGTGTGTAATCTCTGATGTGAGACAACATCTGATTTTTGTACAAAACATTTCCCGCACTCAGGACAGGAATATGGCTTTTCTCCTGTGTGAGATCTCTGATGTCTGTAAAGAATGGACTTCTGTGAAAAACATTTCCCGCACTCAGGACAGAAATACGGCCTCTCCCCCGTGTGCGATCTCTGATGTTTGCAAAGATTGGACTTATCGGAAAAGCATTTCCCGCACTCAGGACAGGAATACGGCTTTTCCCCCGTGTGAGACTTCTGATGTGAGACAACATCTGATTTTTGTAGAAAACATTTCCCGCACTCAGGACAGGAATACGGCTTCTCTCCTGTGTGAGATCTCTGGTGTCTGTAAAGCTTTGATTTCTGTGAAAAACATTTCCCGCACTCAGGACAGGAATACAGCTTCTCCCCTGTATGTGATCTCTGATGTTTGCAAAGATTGGACTTACCTGAAAAGCATTTCCCGCACTCTAGACAGGCATATGGCTTTTCCCCCGTGTGAGATCTCTGATGTGAGGCAAGCTCTGATTTTTTTACAAAACATTTCCCGCACTCAGGACAATAATACGGCTTCTCGCCCATGTGCAATCTTTGATGTGTGTAAAGATTGGACTTCTGTGAAAAACATTTTCCGCACTCAGGACAGGAATACGGTTTTTTCCCCCGTGTGAGATCTTTTATGCTCATTAAGTTTGGATTGAAAACAAAAACATTTCCCACACTCAGAACAGGAAAACGGCTTATCACCTGTGTGAGATCTTTTATGTGCTTTAAGGTGGCATTTAAAACGGAAACATTTCCCGCACTCAGGACAGGAATATCGTTTCTCCCCCGTGTGTGATCTCTGATGTATGGAAAGGTTGGACTTATGTGAAAAACATTTCCCGCACTCGGGACAGGAATACGGCTTCTCCCCCGTGTGAGATCTTTTATGCACATTAAGATTATATTTGAAACTGAAACATTTCCCGCACTCAGGACAGGAGAACCTCTTCTCTGTTGGAAGGCCGGCCCGGTCCCGCACAGTCTGAGGTTCCTCAGGATACGAGGAATCCGATGGTCCATCTACACTGGGTGGTGCCGGATGGACATTGGAGGGAGCCGGGTTTTCTCCTGGACTATATTGTGCGATGTCCTCATCTTCTACTTTCCAGTCTGGAGACAAAGTGAGACAATCCTCGGAGGTTTTCCTCATCTCCCGGCCATGGACTAAAATACAAAGACAAAGGATTACTAGACAGAAGCTGATTGATTCCCCCAAACCAGGACTCCGCCCACATCAGACAGCTTGGTCTCTGAGGAGCTTACAATTCCACCTTCAAGGGAACTAGGAATGGGACAGTGACCAATCAGTGAGCAGTAAGGGTGGAGGAATGGATTTAGTGTTCATGACCCACCTGTGCTGATCTCTGTAGGAGTGTCCTCCTCTATAAATGTCCCCGTTATTCCATCCTCCTCAATAGACTGCTGATCATCCCTCACATACACCTCTTCTTCTTCTGATTTCACCTCATATTCCATATCGATTGGATCTCCACTCTACATCAAGAGAAGGAGAGAAAATATCATCTGTAAGATAGAAGATTTATTATTGTGACATCACATAGAGAATCCGCACATCGTCTCCATGAGTCCATGTTCTAGATTCTCCATCCCACCAACCTTGTAATAGTGAGGGATGGTGTGACCTTCCTGTGTGGAATCCCGGGAATACAGAGGACAGGGACATCTCTCTGGTGGGTTCCTGTAGCTGGATGACTCCACCATGGTGTCCTGGTACAGATCTTTGTGTTTTTTTGGAATCTCTGACTCCTCAATAACTTCATCCCCATAATCCTCCTCTCTTTTATCTCTTCTTTAACAACAATATTATAATCCCCGAGGATTCCATTCTAAATAATAAGACATTTATTGTAAAAAAAACATGCTTGTGGCTAAATATCAATAATTATTTCTCATCTACCTGATGATGGTGAGGGATGGTGTGACCTTCCTGTGTGGAAACCTGGGAATACAGAAGATGGGGACATCTCTCTGGAGGGTTCCCATGACTGGATCCATCTACCTGATGATGGTGAGGGATGGTGCGATCTTCCTGCGTGGAATCCCGGGAATACAGAGGACGGCGACATCTCTCTGGTGGGTTCCCATGACTGGATCCACCTACCTGATGATGGTGAGGGATGGTGTGAGCTTCCTGTGTGGAATCCCGGGAATACAGAGGATGGGGACATCTCTCTGGTGGGTTCCCATGGCTGGATCCATCTGTAGGAAACACACACACTGACTGAATCCATTGTTTCTATGTGTTTATCAGATGATGGGGGATCTAGGTGGATCCTCCGTACTGCTCTCTCCTTTCCAATAAAGTCTCCTCTTACCCGGTGATGTGAGGGGCGGCTGATTGTCCATCATGACGTCCTTGTAGAGGTCCTTGTGTCCTTCTAAATACTCCCACTCCTCCATGGAACAGAATGGTCGTTTCCAACTGTTTTCTTTAGATGTTTCACTTTTCCATTAATAACCATTTATATGTGTGTATCATCATCTGCTTGAGATAAAAGATGTCACAGTGATGATGGAGGAAGAGGACCAGAGCGACGGTGGAGGAAGAGGACGGGTGCAACGGTGGAGGGAGAGGACAAGCGCGATGGGGGGTTACTGGGTGTAAGTATAAAATCAGATCTTATTACCTCCTCTGCTGCCACTTCCAGCAATGTCTCCTCTATACTTCCTCCCGACTCACCTCTCACCTGCAACTTCCTGTCTTCCATAGAGACTTCCTGTCTGGGTAGAAGTGAGATCACCACCTTGTGGAGCTCAGAGGAACTGCAGCCCCGAGAACCGTCTGGTAGTGTGACCCCGGCCTTGTGCTGGGTGTGTATGGACTGTATGTCCTCTTAGAGGGGTCACCTCCACTCCCACCAAGGGGGACAGAATATATGACTGCCTAGTCCAGCCTTTCTCAGCCAGGGGTTCCTCCAAAGGGTTCTAGGGGTTCCTCCAAAGGGTTCTAGGGGTTCCTTCAGCAATGAACAATTTCTGTCTCTCAGTAACAACTGACATCAGTGATCTGTAAGGGGGACAGTCTTCCCACTGATGACGATGTGAGAATGTCCTTCTCCCACTGACCACTGATATAAAAGGGTCTGTTGGTTCTATTGACCCTTAGACCCCTGGTCTAAGTTCTCTGTCACTCGTTCTGTCTCCTCAGGCCTGGAGAAGCATTGGTTACAAGTAATCACACATGACACCGTCTTGTCAGTAACCAAAAACTTCTAATTTATTCCACAACGAAAGCTCTCTTTTATAGTACAATATAACGTGCAAGTGAGAATACAAACATTTACGTCAATCCTGAATAATGATGAGAAGCAAAATTTAATTATCCCAAGAATAAGGAATGTCTATTTCATAAAAACTTATCTGCTACATACAATAGAATCTCGCTAGATACTTTTCAAGGCTGTGAACATGATCTTTCTCAGGCATTTGTAATTAGTTATAAGTAACAAACAATTATTTTCTCATAGAACAGAAATATTTGACATTTAATTGTATCATAACAGAAACAGGTGCTTGTTAATACAAAGAAATAATTGGATACTATCTCCATCTCTACCAAGGCTAAGCTAAGATAAAAGATAGAAGAATGTTGTGAGTATAGTTCTGTAATACATAACTGACATAGCATATTTTCATTAACTCATTCTGGTTATAATACAAAACAATTAATCAACATGTTGGTACAAAATGGAGTGGGGAAAACAAAGTGACAGACCTAAAAGACATACATTTCCCTTCAGGGTCTTTCTCCCATCGGTCACCAATGTAAGGGACCACTACACTGACCACTGATATAAGGGGGTCCTTCTCCCATCGGTCACCAATGTAAGGGACAGCTACACTGACCACTGATATAAGGGGGTCCTTCTCCCAACGGTCACCAATGTAAAGGACCACTACACTGACCACTGATATAAGGGGGTCCTTCTCCCATCGGTCACCAATGTAAGGGACAGCTACACTGACCACTGATATAAGGGGGTCCTTCTCCCAACGGTCACCAATGTAAAGGACCGCTACACTGACCACTGATATAAGGGGGTCCTTCTCTCAACAGTCACCAATGTAAGGGACCACTACACTGACCACTGATATAAGGGGGTCCTTCTCCCAATGGTCACCAATGTAAGGGACATTCACACAGGTTTGTTACTTCCAAATGTTCCTCTGGAGAACAATTCTTCAAAAGACAGAGAGCAATCTCCCAGCTGGAGGTGGAAGTAGCATTGAGACACGAGAAATTCTGATGTTACATGTAGCGGAGGAAATGAACTGTGATGGCTGTAACCTGCTGACTGGCATCTCCTCTGAACCCTGACACTTCCACAGTGAGGGATTTCAGCCCCTCCCTTCTCTTCTCAGACTGTAATAGAGAGAGAGACAATCAGAAGAACCATTAAAGGAGCCAATGACAGGGACTTTCTCAGGCAGGAGGTGCAGCTGCAAAGCATTGTGGAATTTGCAGTCTTGAACAGAAACAGCATGATAGGCTTATATGAGGAATGGAACTACAGAGACCAGAATGCTTAGGGAGAGCAGAGTGAAGGACTCCATCTTGTTTTTCCTGAAGGAGGGAGTCTGCAAGTGGCAGGGAACAGTCTGGACCTAACCAGAGAAGTGCTTGGGGTCAGTTCACAGCATGCTTGGTGATCTGCATCAGTCAGGGAACATCCAAACTGAGAGATGTGGATCTACAGTACAGAAGTGCTCATCGTGAGGTGACCAGAGGAGTTGGTCATTTCCAGGATGATCGTTTGGGCCTTAGTCACAGGATCTGGTGAGAGGGATTTTGCCCACTGGCAGATGACAGGAACACTGCACACAGAGACATTACACTTCGCCCATACTCACCAGGCACTGGGTTGTGTAGATGGCCCTGCTAAACAGACACAGTGTTTGCTTTGCTATACAAATACTGCCACGAGATTACAATTATACTTTACCATAGGAGTGTAAGTGCACCAATGAAAGTGGCTCACTGAAGACCCCAACATTCATTCTGTTACCAAGAGACTGACGTTACTGGTGCCATACAGGCACACGCATGCGTATTCAGGCCTCTATATTGCATGGTGTGTGAGGGAATAGCTTTACCTTGGAAAGTAGATATTAAGCATCAGTTGGGTACAGTGTTTGCCTATTGGGCTTGTGGTGTCGGGGGTTAGAAGGGAGAAGTCTGACACAACAGAGTCATTCTTCTGCTCTCCTCCTGCTTGGACATCATAGAGCCGAATTTTTGTAAAGGGGTTTAGACCCACTTTGAGGGCGCCATGTAAGTGTTTCCTCTGCTCTTGGGGTTATTCATGGTTGGAATCCCCTGAAAGCAGCCTGAGTGTAAAAGTGAGTTATATTGCTTCCGGTCTCAGTATTTGCTCTTCTCTTGATTCACTGAACGTACAGTCAGGTCTATAAATATTGGGACATCGACACAATTCTAACATTTTTGGCTCTATACACCACCACATTGGATTTGAAATGAAACAACCAAGATGTGCTTTAACTGCAGACTGTCAGCTTTAATTTGAGGGTATTTACATCCAAATCAGGTGAACGGTGTAGGAATTACAACA